CTAAATCATATTTTCTGTCAATTTTATTTCTCCACACAATCTTCTAAAGTTTAAAAGAATTTTTCACACTACAAGGAATATGATTGGTAAAGTAACTCGACACGTTTTTATGCAAAACAAAAGAAGTGCGGTATCGTGTGTGAGACAGACGGCCGAGTCTCAGATCATGTTCATGTCATACAACCTCACCTCACTTAAAGCTATCTAGCATCCCTCTCCAACCTGCCGTAACTGATCAGCGCTGCAGTTAACTGATGTGGTCAGACTGACATAAGATGTGTCTGAAGATCAAGTCAGCTGCAGGACGGGTTGGACAGCTCTACCTGGAAGCAGTGAGACACTCCTGCAGGGCTGCATTACAGTGAGACAATCAGCTCAAGAATAAAAGGTGCTGAGTGTGACTTCAGAGAGAGAACAGCGTGGCTCTCAGACGTGAATTCCAGCACGGGTTGAGAGTTTTATCACTGGAAGGCAACTTCCTGAGAAAAACAAGGCGACACGTGCAGAGAGCGACGGGATCGGGCCGATGTTTCCTCCAACGCCCTGCAGGCTGCAACACTTTCCCTCTGAACAGACAGCCAGGCTTCTTCAACAGTGCAGCTAAACTCATCTAATGCAACCTTTAAAGGCAGATAAAACATATTTTTTGCTAGATTCTTAATAAAATCACACTGTTAATGTAAATTAATGTAATTAACCAAATCTAGTACGATCTGATGTCACATAGAGCTACACACTATTTCCACAGTCTGTATGTTGGACTCAAATAGAGGATTGTAAACCGGTTGAGGAATCATACAATCAGAAACAAGAACAAGTATTTAGCAAAGTAAAGAAGTCTTGTAGTCAAGAAAAGAATTAATCTATCTGAGCGAGTTGGTTATTCCAGCCTGATGGCGCTTTGAATTTCAAACATTTCCTGAACGATTCTACGTAAAATACAAAATAAAAGTAGCAGGCTGTGGTCTATCGCGATGATTTCTATTATAACGTCAGGATGTGGTGTAGCTGGAGTGGAAAGCATCCATCCACTCTCTAGGTCAACAACTCACTGCTCTGTGTAACAGCATCCGCCATGCGACTCACTAAAGTACATGAAAACAAATCATCTGAAGAACAAAAAGCGGACAACTTGTCCTTCCTTTGGACGCCCACAGGCTTGGCTCCATTGTTGACGAGGACTTCACCCACAACAATCACTATCATCATCATCATCATCATCATCATCATCATAACTTCCACTGAGGATTTGGCAAAGAGAGAAGGGCTGCTCTGTATCTAAACTTTTTATCTGCACATTACAAGAAAACTGTTTTCAGTGAAGACAGGAGTTGTCGATATATTTAGACATGAAGGAATTGTGGACATGAAGTTTAGTGTGTCCTTGTGTTTGTTGTGATTATCTGCACAAAAAAATAACCTTTCCCCAAACCGAATATGGGACGCTGCCAGAGAGGAACAATGAGAACTTTAATTAGATCTTTAATCAGAGATTGTCATAACACACACACACACACACACACACACACACACACACACACACACACACACACACACACACACACACACACAGACACACACAGGCAGAAGCAAACTCTTTTCTTCTTGTGCTTTGTAATGCAGATAGTTTATACAAGCAACTTAAGACGTGTGTATTCATAAGTTCCCCTCCTACAGTATGTAACACGTGTTTGCTTGTTTTTACACGCAATGTACAGACTGAAATATGATCTGTTTATATTTCAGATGTTTGTTCAAACTCTCATGTGACCTGAGCTGTGCACCTGCAGACTCCACTGTGAGATCACGCAGTCATAAAGTACAATCAATATGTCAGAGACATGCCTGAGGAAACCAAAACAGTCATATCAAAATCTAATATGTGACATATTTTCAAGTAAAAGGATGAGCTGAGACCACAACAGATGTAAAGTTTGATTGTCCTTCCTAAGTTAAAGTTAGCGTCACAAGCTAGAGTAAGTTCAAAAAAGTAGCTGTCGAGGCACAAAAGTGTTTTTTAAATGTCGATATTTCTTTGTATTATTTATGTCTAAATACTAAATACATGCTATAGTTTAGAATGAGTGGGAATTTTCAGAATATTCATCTCTTTATCAGCAACAATCTAAGTTAAAAGTCAGAGAAAAAAACTGTAATGAACATGAACATGAATCATCATCAGTCTTTTTCGTGGGGAATAAACTTTGTTACTTTGCTGGCAGAGATTTGTGTTGAGTTATAACGGTTTATTTGAGCATCAATGTCATTCCAGCCTCATAGGGACTCAAAATAAAACCTAAACAAAAACAAATTACTGCAATCAAGCAAAAAACTGACTTTGGCACGATGCTCTGCAATGTGGATGTAGTTTTTGTTGAGTGCATTTCTCTGCACTTCATATATTTACTGAAAAAGCATGTGCTTACAAGAGGAAGAGTGAGACAGGTATACGCTCGTGCAGAAATGTTATTATCTGAATGACGCATCCTCCGATGAGGCCCGTTTCTAACATCAACTAACCGTTTGTTCAGTCTCATTCCCCCACGAGCTCCTGCTGAATATTTCATCCTCCAAGCCGAGATAGAGTGTCTCCTGCAGTTCACACGATCTGCCTTCTGTCTCCCGTGTGAGGAGGACGAAAATGAAACACCAGGTCAGCGGTGTCTGTCTCAAACAGCACCGAGGCGACGGGTTGAAACACGAGAGATGTTTCTGCCTTTCAGCCAGCAGCTCATGTGCGACTCTGCGACTCTGCGCCGGAGGGCAGCGGAGGGACAGTTTGTCCTGGAAACTAAGACGCTCAGTTTCCACCTGAGCTTCGGCTCGTGCTCGGATTGCTTTTTGTCTGCTGCTGGATGCTGTAGGCCTACATCTGGGACTGACTTACTTTAACCCACTTTTAGTCAGTGGCACTAAGCTTCCAACGCCGCTCTACGAACCCCTCAATCGTCAGTTTTGCACAGTTTTTCGTCCTTTTGTCAGTAAAAATGTATGTTTTTGTAACAAATGAGGTTCTAATCTAAATGAATCCTTTAATTCAACAAGAAATAGAAATACAATTTAATAGAAAAGCTATAAAAACCTTTCTTTCCACCTAACTGTATTCCATCAACGTTTGAGACAGAAAACAAAGCAGGAAACAACATCTCAGCACATTTACTGCTTGAAATAAAGGCACGAACAAGTTTTTAGGCATCATGTTGGCAAAAGAACGGCCTTTGCAATATTTCTTAACTGAAAGAAACCTGCTTTGGTCACCTGTTTTTTATGTGAGCTATAAAATGTAAGTCTGAGTCCAGGCTCGAGATGTGAGTTCTGCAAAGTTACTGACCTTCAACTCGAGCTGATTTTACTATCAAATTTGCTCTGGGTCTAGTCCAGACACTGCTGCTGTCGTTTACTGGTCTCACTTACTGTTACATCATGATTAGGGTGCTGGTCCATGGTGGCTGGCAGGTGGCGGTGACCCCCGTGTCCCCTGCAAGATGGACCGCCAACATGAATACTGTGATGTGCCAGGATCGAGTAGCTGGGCTGCTATCTTGTTACTAATCTGCTAATCTGTTTGGCACAGGAGCTGCTTTCCGTTCCTCCTTACATAACTGGGTCCATGTTCAGAGAAGATAACCACTGCGAAGGACAGACGGACAGTTTTAGAGTAAGAAAAGGACACTGTGGTCACTTCAAGGAAGCGCTTAAGCTTGTTTTATCTCTCTCTTTAGTTCACGTTGTCAGGCTTTTCTTCAGAGGGGTCAGAGGTCAAACAACAACCCCCAAATCTGCTGAGACTGGGATTATACATCTTTTTTACCCCACATATGAAGGAAATAAGGGACAATCATTGCTTCAGACTCAACAATACTTTCATATTATATTTAGTGTTTATTTTTTCTTTCCACATTCATCTTGCAAATCTAGTTTCTCCTCCTCAGTCTGATTCAGCCTCCTCTTTTATCAGATATTCACCAGACATGTTGAGTCATCACAGTACAAAAACACCAACAACAGTTGGTTTGAGAATTTGATTACCTATAACCCCATGGCATTTCTTCTCTAAATCAGCTACTGACAGCATTAACCATCTATTTGAGATGTTTCTTGCAATACATTTATAGCGCAATTCTTCCCTAAAGAAAACAATTAACATTTTAAGACAGTATCCAATGAGGCATTAGTTTAATTTTGAGCAGTAATGGATTTGATGAGAGGGTGAAATATGTAATTTTAGAGCCATAAATTAGAATTGAAATAAGGGAGAAGGGGGATTTGCTCGTTAAATTACTCAAAAGTGCCTCATACGATAAAATAGGCTTTAGGGACTTAAGGCCAGGCTTTGTTCTGAGAATGGTTACTGCTGTACTTATACTGTATATACTGTAGAGTGCATGCAAAATCAATTAATAGCTAACAAAAGAGATGACCTAAGGTAATCCTGCAGAGCTCTGATTTCGAGACAAAAACTGTAGACGTAGATCAATACTGGAAAAAAATGCTAGAAATACTAATCTATTATTATCCATTACTCAAGGATACTACACAACAATATATCTGCAACAAAAATGCATCCTAAATATTTCAACAGTACATCAAGGAATGTATTCAAGACAAAACATCTGTACATATTGAAGTCAAGTCAACTTTGTTTGACTTTGTATAGCACATTTTGTACAAAATCAAATGCAACACAATGTGCTTTACGTAAAAATAACATGATACAACAAGTGCAAGTGCAGAATAGACGAATGGTAAAATTCACACACACACATACACACACACACACACACACACATACACGCTAAGAAGTGAGCCATACTGTGGACTATTCCTATCTTATCTATCTTAAAACGACCATGTGATTGTTTTTAGTATGTGTTTGAACTACAGACTGTATAGGATTTAACCGTTAGATTTGTTTACCTTCTCGTGACTTGTAAAACCAGTCCGGATTACCCATGATGCCTTGCTGCGACTATAAAAGCCCTCGTCCTGCTGCTCGGAAGAGTGTCAAAGACTCGCTTTCCTCCTCTCCCACAAACGCACCAGCTACTTTTACCGCAACAAGGTTTAGTCTTAATTTACGGATGGTGAACTTGTCTGTCGAGTTTTTATCGAATAGTAATTGTTTTAGTTGTGAAAAAGGAGCTAAAGACCCGTGTTTCCTCGAAGCTATCATGCTGAACACAGAGGAAAGGTAGGAGAATGCTAATGTTCTTCTAGAAGTGTAATGAGTGCAGCCTGGTGGTCTGTTTCCACTGGTAGCAGGTTGTTAAACTGTTATGGGGTTGAGTTTGTTAAATAGCTCGACTTTACTTTTAGCTAACTGGCAAAATAGCAGGAAAACAGTGACAGATAAGCAGCGGTGGAGGAAGTATTCAGGTCTTTTGCGTTACTTTACTCTTGGAATACTCTTTACAGTAAGAGTCCTCCTGAATTAAACATCTTACTTAGTAGTAAGTAAAAGTACACATTATGCAGAATGGCCCATTTCTAAATCATATTATTATTGATGTATTCGTGTTGTAGGTGGTAAAGATGGGGCTCATTTGAATTACTCTATACTACTATTATAATAATATACTACTACCTTACTATACTAAAACATTTGGAAAGTAACTAAAACTTTAGTGGAATAAAAAGTACAGTATCTGCCTCTGAGATGTAGTAAGTAGCATAATTAAAGTACCTTGAGTTTGTATTTAAGTACAATGTGCCTAGTTGTATTCCATCACTGCAGAGAGTAAACACACATTTTGATGTTTGCAGACTGACATCTAGCTAGATGACTGTTTGTTTTTTTTAATCCTGCAGATTATTTAAGGTTAAATATCTAGAGAGATGCATTAGACGCAATCTGATAATGTTCTTGTCCGAGTGTACAACAAATACAAAGGACCCTTGAATGTCTAATATAGGTTAATGCAAAGTTGAGGTGAAATACATTATTACTTATTTTAGTGGTGGATGTGGGGCGCTGCAAGGCCAGATGTTCTCCAAACCACACCACGCAACCACAGCCAGGATATGTTTTAAACATTTTAAATTTCTATTCAAACGCATTTATGAAACTTTTAAAGTAGCGTTGTTTCTCCTGGGAACCTGTTTCTTGTTTGTACAAAGACTGTAAGACATAGGGTTGCAACTAATACTTATTTTCACTTTTTATTAATCTGTTGATTGCTGTAATCGAATATGTGATTAATCGTTTTAACTGTAAAATGTCCAATATTAGCCTACATTTACAAAGATGCTAAATTGAGAAAGTTGCAGATTCTTCCACTAAAGTAACTGGATTAATGTTGATCAATTTATCGAGAAATCAACTACTTGTTTCCACAATAACGAGCTTGATTCAAGGCCTACTGGAGAAACACTCGTAACAAGTCGTGCTGAAATGATGTTGGACCTTCTTTACGTGGTGCATGTGCTGTCATGCTGCAGCATGGTGACCGTATGCTGTCGTGTCTTGTTGTGGACTTGATGTTCCTGCTGTTGACGGTCCTATAGGGACTTGTTTTTGTCCTCTGTGGGTTTTATCGTCTGACGCGTGGAGCGGGAGACGTCCATTGATGCAGTGAGCCAGAGCGGTGACTATATGACCACTCGGACTGTTACGGCCATGTCAGCTGAAGGCATCAACTGGCCTACATCAGCCTGGTTGCATAACCTCAGTCTACTGATTCACTTATCAAGCGTCAGGGGGTGCATTCAGTGAGAAACAGCTGGATTATCTAACATGACCTACCGGAGTGGAACTAAGTGCTCCTCTACTTGACTGGCAGACTTGTTTTTTTCAGTGGTTGCTGGAAGATTCTGGATCAGAGCGCTGTTGAATTCTCTGTAAACAAAACCAAAACATTGACTTTGCCAACCAGTGTCAGCTGACATCTGGAGACGTCAACCTCGGCTATTATTGTCTAAGTCGGGCAAGGCTGTGATGCAGACCTGAGGCATGCACCTACAATTGAGTAATGAGTTGCAGACCAGTTTGAAATGAACCTGTTGCACTGGAGGAAAAAAATAATGTCCGCACACAAAACACGTGAGGAGGCTCTCCACATTTAATTTATCCACACAGTCTATTCTTCATTTGTTTGGTACATAAAATGTCAGATAGTAAAAAGTGAACAGGTTCCCAAAGCCCAAGTTGACATTAACGTGTTTTATTTTGTCCGTTCAACAATCAAAAACCAAACAATTGGAGGTAAACCGATTTAATCGATCGGAAATTAATTTAAAGCAAAACTTTAGAAATGACAGGATTTCCAAAAAATAACATCGTAACTTAATATTTTCGGGTTTTGGATTGTTGGTGAGACAAAACTTTACATTCGAAGACATCACCTTGGACTCATTTTTCACTATTTCCTGAAATTTTATTGACCAAATGGTTAACCAAGAAAATAATAGCCCGACCAGAGATATCCAGTAATGAGAAGCTGAAACCAGTTGGCCCACATTTTTGGCAAAGTTTGACTTCAAACTATAATTTGATAACTAAAATATGGATAAAGGAGTGACGATTTATTTTCTGCCGATCATCTAATTGATTGATTGACGGATTGTTTCATCTCTAATCAATTTATTATATAGTCAGAAGTTGGCAAAGTGGGGAAATAGTGAAGTGAAAGTGAAAGCGTCTGTCACACAGTCGTGTCAATAAGATGGGAATAATGCCGTTGCTTTGCTCATTCTTCAGTTTGGTGTCATGCCGTTGTTTATTGTTGCCGCAGAGCTTCCCAAAATTGTTCCTGTACTGAACAAACACTCTGCTGAATTACACCAATGTAGGTGTTGGAATTCACAAACACGCTCCGGCTGTATTTCTACTGTTGTAGGGGATGTTTTTAAAAATGAGGATGTATAGTAATAGTGCTTCCTGTTTGGTGGCTTTGTAATTGTTGTGACTTCTATTTTCAATTTGTTTTTTGTAATAATGACTATTCTGCTTTCCCACAGTGGCACATGCTCACACTTGGCTGATTTGAGTCCTCTGCTGTGTTCTGGTCGGGTTATTCGGAGCAGGTCGGTTGTGTTTGTTGTTTGTCTGAGCGGCCGTGCTCAGACACAGTTTGGTCCAGGGGTCAGTGCAACGTGTTTTGCCAGCAATACATCCGTCATTACTCGAGGCATGAGCGCCTTTTCCTGTCTCCGTCTCGTCATCTTTAACGACGCGCCGCTCTGCCAACCGTCCAGGAGGGGGTCCGAGGACTCTCCTGTTTACTTTCCTGCACACAGCAACGTGTTGTTTGTGTCTCCAACCTAACCCCCCCTTTTTGGGGGGGCTAACAAGCTTGTTTATGTTGACATTTTGGGTTTTAAGTCGAGTCTTTTGCCATTACTAAGCTGGTAATTACAGTGCTACAAGTCGGTTTCAGTCTTCTCGGAGAACCTGCCACAGCGCTTCCTGTTTTGATTGAATTGTGTGTTTCTTGGCTTTCGGCTAAACTCAGCGGCCGGCCAACTCAGGCTGTGCATCCCCTCAAACCGTTTACCTGAATCAGTTCTCAAAACAACACCGCTCAGGAAGAGCAAACCAGCAGTGGAAGCATTCACCCTTAAAATAATGTCATAACAGTTCCTCTTGCAGACGCATGCACGACCTCGCCCCTCCTGGCAGGATCGCGCGATGACGCACTTTGCATCATTGAGTCTCACTGTAACACACGGATGATTAAATGCTCACAAGCACATTAAAGCAGTCCAGGCTTGTGGTGTGATCGGCCTACACGGAGTCTGTTTCACCCGGCAAGTCAACCCCGACCTTAAAAGACTCTTTAAAGACGTAACCTAAATTCTGTGTGGGGCTGGGGGGGGGGGGCTCTGAGTGTGGCCGAAATGTCAGAAGACGAAAGTGTTGCCTTTCAAAACAAGCTGGCATTCCCATCAAGGACGGGCTCTACTGTCTGCTTCTGGAAGGGATTGCTCGCTCTCCTGGCTTATACTGTGCAGATCAGGTTGTTCGGGTTACCGGTCTGGTCTGCAGGGAAACTGGCTGTACAGCTCCTCTCACAGAAACACAGCGGTGCACGCATCTGTTGTTTGACTGTGGCACGACTCGGTCATATCAACATTCACTCACACGCACAGATCGCTCTATCTGCTGCAGTTTGAGATAGAAGATTGTGTGTCGTGCGAGAATCCCTCAGGGGGACAAATCTGATACAGGCAGGGGAAAGTTTTTGCTCGTCTAAAAAGGCCAAAATGTGAGTTGCCCGGCCCTCGTGTCCATGCCCGTCTGGCAGCGTCGGCCGGCTGCCATCGCGTCTGGTTTGAGATGCGCGACTGTAACTCAAAACGCCAGAGATGTGTGTTCCCAAAAAGCCTCTCGTGCTATTTGCAGAGGTGTTTACAGGTCATGTGCTTGTTTACGATGCATGCCTTCCACCCCAAGCACAACCCGTCAGCAGCTCTTTGAGCACTCTGTTATCAATCACTAGGCTTTCATTCGGTCTGTCGTAGGCTCGTCACAAACAATCAGCCAGTAGCATCACTGGGCTGAAAACCCACATCACATGCTCGTTGGCTTTGTCCTTTGTGTATGTATTAGGACTCAAATTTGTGTGAATTAGGGTCACAGGATTGAAGAAATATTCCAAAATCTATATATAACCAACCAGTCCTGACGAACATGACCACTGAGTCTCATGTTTAAGGACAGTAAGTCAGGACACTAAGAAGTGATGTTTTACTGGCGGAGTAAAGGAGACATTGTGTGTGTGGAAGGATATATTTTGTTTTTATTTCATTGATTAGAGTAAGTACAGGAAAGGAGATGGAAATCTAACCAATGGATCTTGTTCCCTTTGCAGTTCCTGGTTGTCGGGGCCCCGGTTGCCCGGCTCCATCCCTCAGTCTCCGGGGCCTCTGTGGTGTTCCTGATGCCCCTCACCCACAACTGAAGATCCCGAGTGGGCGAGGGACGGTCAGGGATCACTCTCTCGGAGTGCTACTACACCAGGTGACCCCC